AAATACAATTTGTTCAGAACCGAGTTACCGTATTTTCATTGGACCCTTTGGGGAAATTTGATTCAGTTCACGACCAATTCGGTTCGCGACCAGAATCATGGAACGAATTAAGTTTGTGAACCGAGGTACCACTGTATTCACAACCATTATGCTATGTACTTTCAGGATAAGTGCCTTCATGCAAACTGCAGAAAGGAGTAAAATATAGTTAAGCCAAGGAAATTAAGGCACGAGATAAGAAAAGGGAATATACCTGTCTATTTTACATCAGCACCATTCACTATTCCTCTCCATATATGCATTTCCATCCTTATTTTCACCACATCCATACACCATTTCATGCACTTACTTTGCTGTTTACATTTCTGACCCCTCTCTTTTGGAGGAACTTCTCAACTCCTTATAATCACAATTTTTGCTCTTCCTTTTCTCTCAATCCTTCAAATATTTCACTTGCAATTCGATCCTCATTCATTCTGGCTGTATGACCAAGCCACCTCAACATACTTTTTTTTGTACCAATCACTTATTTTTGTATTCTCAGTCCACAATCTTTCATTACCTATTCATTCTTGACCTACCCCCTTCTTGTTTTACCACGCACAGTTCTTAAGTTCCCTCTCCTACTGCATTCAGTTTATTTCTGTTTGTCCTAACGTACCCAACTCTCACCTGTATATAAAAATTAGGCAGAAACATGCCCTTATACACATACATTTTTGTTTCTTTCAACAAACATTCATTTCTCACAACATACCTCATACTGCCCTCCTCTCTGAACCAGCATTTACACATCTGAAAGTTTCTCCATTTGCTTATCAATCTTTAGTATACGTTCTGCCAAGTATACAAATTCTTCTGTTTGATCTGTTTTTTTACTATTTATTCTTCACTCCACCTTCCCTGTTAAACACAACTCCTTGGTCTTTGATATATTAAGTTTCGGGTCCATTCAATTTGTGGAGTCAGTCAATTTTACTTAACATCCCCTGCAAATCATTTGGGAGTCCAGTTAACAACATGGCATTGTTTTCATACAAAAGTATAGGAACGTTCAAGTTCTCAACAAACAAACCTCCAATGATACGAGCAGTTAAAGAAAAAAAAAATTCCACAAACACATTAAAAATCCAGTGCAACATCACAGAAACATCACTTGCCCTACTCATTGCTTAGGGCTGGGCCATTTGCTAAGCATTACATTTATTCTCATGGATGTTTTAGTTCCCTGATGTACAGCTGTTTTATCACATTTAGCAATCATCAACTTCATATTCGTGCAGAACATTTCATAATTCAAGGTTATTCACTTTATCATATGGTTTCTCAAAACCAACAAATCTGTACTAAACTTATTTTCTCATGTTCATTTCTCAATGAGCTACTCTCCAGATGTACTGGACTTCAGTCCCTAAACCAGCATCTCTAGGGATTTTATGCAGAGCTTGAAGCCTCTAATCATTTAGCTAAGCTCTTATTTTACTCTTCCTCCACAGCTCTTTCAGAGAAATAGCAACTCTGGGGCTCTCACAAGATGACTGGAATGTATAGACAATTGCTTTCTAAAATGCCTTGAAAATAGCTGATGTACAACTCCCAAAGTACCATATCTGAATCACCATATAAAAGGCTGAGGAGGAATAATGTGGGATTTGCACCTCCTTGCACGTCTGAGGGTAAAGTTACTTCACAGCAAAAGATAGCTGTAAACTATTATTGGCAGTAAAATGTGTTTCCTTAATTTAGATGGTAGGGAACAGGGTATCCCAAAGTTACTAGGGAATGATGCCATGAAATTAAATTGCACACCACACTGCTGCTGTCCTGGGCATCTGGAGGCCACTGGGTTGGGGAAAGCTGTATCAGCCATTTATTTCTTGTCTGAGAAGGGGGAAGATTCTAAACTAGAGAGATCAGCATAAGATTCTAAGAGAGTTTTATGATTTATTTATTTATTCATTAAATCCCATTTATATTGCCACCCATCTTACAAGAAGCAACTTGTGATACCTAAAGGAACAAAAAATAAAATCAAACACTAGTTAAAAGAAGCAATACTAGAAAGGGAGGGGCTGCACAATGTAAAAAAAAGAGGAAAATAGGAAATGGGAAAGCAAGAAGAGGAAAAAGAACGAACAAGACAATTCAAGAGATACAGAACGGAGTTATTAAAACTGAATATTTGATCTCCTTTAAATGTAACACAATAACAAATGGCCACTTACATTTTTTTGGACTGGACTTTTTCCAGAGACTTGGCAAAATTTAAGTTACTTGTATTTTAAAAAGATAATTACAATAAAAACTGCCAACCTCCTGGGCATATATGCATGTGTAAACTCGTAAGCCAGGTGAAGGACTTCCATCGTATTTTAGGCTTCAGGATAGCAATGGTGTAATCAGAACATTCCTGGCATTTCAAAGGCTCAACAGTGATTATCCTACAGGTGAAAGATTGTCGTCATGACCCAAGAATGCATAGAGGTATTGCTAAATGCAAAGCAGAGCTCACTTGCCTTAAAGATGACAGTCTGTGAACTCAGAAAGATAGCTGCATAAAACAGCTGCTAAGAGAGGGAGGACACAGAAGTGCATAGAAAAAGGGAGGCAGACCTCACAGAGAAGGCTTTTTACAGTAACGGTCCTCATATTACCATATAGGTTTTCAGGACACACTAATAAGACTAAATCTGTTGTCCTCCTCAAACCAAGTTACAACTCTTTTTCAGAAGTCAGAAAAGAAGTGCAGCATCTCACTTTACTTTCAGCTTAGCACCCAACTCAGAATGCAAAAAGAAAAAGAATAAATGTATCCTTCCAAGTGCCATAAGCGTTTATAAATGCAAACATTAGTTTAACTTAGAGATGGGCATACTTCATAGAGTAGGGTAAATTGTATTGCTTGCACTGACCCACTGACTCTCCCATCTGTAACAAGTATAAAGGGAAGACCAAAAGAACAGGTTATCTGCAAAAATGGAACGCATATTATTTATTTATTAGATTTATATCCCACCTCTTTTTTGTACAACTCAAGGCAAGATACATAACACTCCCTCCTCTTCCTTTCCCACAACACCCCTATGAGGTGGGTTGGACAAATGTTTAAAATGGCACTATTGGTGACTGATAAAACCTTAAAGAATAAAGACCCTGCACTCTTAAGAAACGTAGTAATTCCATTAATTTCCAGAGGGTGATGGCATTATAGTGAAAACAGCTCAGAGTACACCTAGATGACAGCACTGTTGCCCATTAAAAGGCATCACACAGGCATTCTTAATAGATTTTTTCAAAAAAGAAGTATCATGGAAGAAGCAGTGAGAAAACTGGGGAGGACCACACTGTTGCAACCCTCTTACTCACCCTCAGTAGAGTCTGTGAATGAAGCAGGGCAATTGCATAAGAAGAGCTCCACACCAAAGGAGTCGTAAGTTATTTAAAAAATGTAAAAATTATGGTTGCAAACTGTTTTAGGTCGGAAGTAGGCAACTGCAGCCTCTGGGCTTGAATTCCCTTTTTGTAGCTTTCATAGCCCACTCTTGTTAGGATTGTTGGAAAGTAATGGCACAGCTTCTTGCCAATTCAAAGTGGGGGGAGGGGAGATGAAAACTATAGTGTAAACCTGGAAATGGGCATATTGCACTTAAAGCAAAAAGGGACACCCATGAAAGCCCACTTTTACCAACATATGTGAGGTGGGGCTACCCACTTTATGGCCCTTTACTCTTAAAAAATGTTAACGCTGCCTTTGGCCTCCAAAGGATTGTCCATTGTTTTATGGACTGGAATCCACTCCCTCAGTGCCTAAAAATGTCATACAGCACAATGATGTATGCAATGAGGTGCCTTGAGATGGCAGCATAATGACAGAAGAGGATCTTACCTGAAAATTCTTCATTGCCCAGGATGGATGTTATTGGATCATAACACTGAAATCAGATTATAAAAACAAACATACAGTATACTAAGAATAATTTAAATAAGCTGAAAAACATATGTGTGTCATACGAAAAGATAATGACTAAAAATCAAGCAAGGAGTATAAATTTGAGACCTGAGATGTTAAATTTAGAATACTGGAAAACTGCTAAGACTTCTCCACAGGAGACAGAGATAGTAACCCACTCCATTTTTCTGTCCCCGCCTCAAAAAAACAAAACAAAAAACAATTGGACATTTGCAATCAGAACAAAGTCAACATGGTATTGGAACATGAGCCTCCCATTAAGAAGGTATCCAGAGGGCTACCAGAGAAGCAGAGGGCAAGTATAAGGAGCATTGGTGCTTTTGATGTAATTAGATTAAAACTGAAATGATGTCCAACTGCAGCTGTGCCCAGAGGAAAAAGGAAAGATCAGTGCTATATGGAATGTCAGAGCATAAGGCAAACTAGATGTTAGCAGAGCAGAAATGTCAAGATTAAACACTGACATTCTGGAAATCAATAAACTGAAGTGGACTGGAATGGGTCATTTCATATCCAAGAAGCACCAGATCTTTTGTAGACAAGAAAATCATAGGCAAAATAGCTGTCATTATTAAGAAAGGGATGTCAAAGTAAGTGCTCGGATACAACTACCAGAGCGATAGACTTATCTCAGTTCAAATCCAAGGCAAGTCAATCAATATTACAGTTATCCAGATCTATGCTCCAACCACAGAGGTACAGAGGTTTGAACACTTTTCAACACCTCCCCCTCCTCCAAAAAATCATACTAATTATAGGAAATAAGAATATCTGTGGAAATAAAATAGCATCTGGAACAAAGGAGAAATATGGCTTTGCTGTATGAAATGAAGCAGGAGACAGACTACTAGAATTCTGCCCCCAAAATTCAATGCTTATAGCAAATGCCTCCTTCTAACAATCTAAAAGACAATTCTATACGTGGACATCATCGGATGGGTAACACTGACAACAAACTGACTATAAACTCTGCAAGCAAAGATGGGGAAAATGTGTTCAATCAGCAAAAACAATATTTGAATCTAACTACAGTTCTGATCACTAACTCTTAATTGCAAAATTAAAACTTACAATAAGCAGAATCATCAGACCAACAAAATACCGTATCAGTAATATTCATATTATCATGCAATAAAGGATGAGTGGATTAGATGGGATAAGCAGAGTGCATTAAGAACTCTGGACCAAAATTTTTGACATAATTAAAGATAAAGCAAACAAAAGTATCCCAAAATAGCTAAAAAAAAAAAAAAAAAATGCAGCCGAAAGGCTGAGTCTGCAAGGTGAAAGGCAAGGGGTCTCCAAATCCTCTCTCAGAAGCCCTCTGGATTTACACATCCTAGCTCCACCTCCTGCCTTGGTGTTCAGCTTGGCAGTTGCTGCTGCTACTTCCTATCTTCCAAGTGCTACCACCTTTACCTGATGTTCTCCCTACTAACCTTGCTATGTAAGACTCCAGTTTTTCCATCATATTGACCAGTAAAAGGAAAATAAAATGTTAAAAAGGAAATATATTTTATAGCCCATTTTCTGGACTTGTGCACTGAAGCATGTGACTAGGAAAATCAGTCCTCTTCATTTAGGATATGGATCAATCTCACAAGGAATAATAGAATCAAAATGGATTTTTTCAAAACAGAGAAAATGTAAACATTCCTTTTTAACTTTAATTTAAAACTATTGAGCTGCAAAAATCATAGACAGCAGCTTAAAAAAACTTCCAATAGAAAAATATATAGAAAAAAATAAAGTTACGGGAAAGAGAACAGAATATTAGTTTAGTTTAAAAGCAACTATAATATAAAAAGGTTTGAAGCTGCACAAAATCATATAATTTACTGAGCACATACAGAGAACATAAATACTAAAGATAATAAAGATCAACCAGCAGGCACTGAAAAGAAATTAAACTTTAGTGTAGTTATTAGCAACTTATTTCTATTTATCTAGAGAAAAGATAACCTCCGGAACAGAAGTTACACCTGTGCTAAATGTTTACCCGGAAAATCCTTCCTCCTGTAAATTCCACCCAAAATCTGAGCAGAAGGGGAAATGGTAAATCCCACTGATTTCCATCTTCTCGTCCAGCAACATTTTTTTTTCTAACTGGCAGAAAGAATGGGGATTGAAATATTTTGGTTGTTGCATATCTGCCAAAATCCATGTGCTTCTGCTTGAGACAGAGAAATGTGCATATTCACTGTCTAGGAAGTAGCTGTCAATCTTGTGAATTCCAGATGACATCCTAACATATGGCAAAATGCTGTCTGTTGAGATGTTGGAAATAGCTGAAAAAAATCAGCAAAGGGCAACAGAAAAATGTATTCAACTAAGCACTGAGTTTCAAAAAAGAACAAGAAGAGACAAGGAGTTATATCTAAATAATCAAAGCAAAGAAACTGAGGACAAATATTAAATAGGAAGTCAAGAGATTTTTTTTTTTTAAAGGACATTATGGAAAACAAGGTAACCTTCTATGCAAGGATGGACAAGATAAAACAGAAAGAAGGCAATGGATGATATATACCAAGGTGACTATAGCTATGACATAAAGAAACATCTGCTACTTGGGGAAAAGTCTCTGACAGATTTAGACAAAATATTAAAGTGCAAAGACATCACACTGATAACAAAATATCATGTAAAGCCCATGGTTTTCCTGTTGTAACAGGACAATGAAATGTGGACTATCGGAAAGTCTGAGCAAAGAAGAATTAATGCCTTTGCATGTTGTATTGGAGAAAATTGTTGAAAATACTTTGGACTGGAAGAACAAATAATCATGCAATACTAAATGAAGTAAATCCAGGTTGTTCACTGGAAGCACTAAAAATGAAGGTAAAGTTTAAATATTTTGGACACACAACGTGAAGGAAAGGTCATTGGAGAAGACCATGATGCTTGGAAAAATCAAAGGCAACAGAAAAGGAAGCTGACAAAGACAAGGTGGCTAGATACTATTACTGATGACATAAGCATGAGCTTACAAGAACTCAAAGAAACAATTACTGAGATACAGTCCTGGTAAAACAATGTCGACTGGCTCGTGAAGAATCAGAAGTGACTGAACAATAAAAATAACAATGACTTCTCCAACTGGACCAGAATCATCTATATTCATTTTCCTTCTTTTGACTGGTAAACTGAAGCATTAAAAAATTCTGCCCTACTTATTACAGTAAATATAACAGTGCCTAGAAAACTGCAAGCATGGAGAATTTTATTATTTAGACATGATCACAAAAGCAGTACACAGTTCAGCTACTTAGCATTTACTCTACCTGTTGTTCAAGCAGAGGTCTCAAGAAAACATAACAACACAAATCAGAGAATGGTAGTTATTCAAATTCGTTTCTTAATTCCTCTGGATTATTTAATCTCCTACCTCAAGCAGCCTGGGAACTCTGATGAGCTGCTGAACAGCAACTGCTAATAACTTCCCATTCAAAGCCAAACGCAGGAAGTACCGCCCTCTTCCTTGGGCTGTCAGCACCTTCTCACTAGAATTTGTTCTCTCAATCATCATGGACAGAAGGGTCCTACTACAAGTGGAAAAGTTGTTACCACAGTCTCTGCTTTAGAGTACTTTTAAATGTTGTTGCAATGTTGTTAAAATGAGCACAAAATAATACAGGTAGTCCTCGCTAACAATGGTAATTGGGACCTGCAACTCCATCACTAAGTGATGCAGTCATAAAGCGCAACATCACACGGCCACGCTTACGATGGCGGTTGCTGCAGTTCCAGTTGCTGTCATTAGGCGAATCCCACACAGTTGCGGTGTCCCATGGACACAAGACTGCCGTTTGTGGCATCCTGCCACGTTCTCCATTGACTTTGCTTGTCAGAAGCCAGCAGTGAAGATCACAAATGGTGATCACACGACTGTGGGACATCGCGACTGTCGTAACTGCAAGCTGGTTGCCAAACGGCTGGATTGGGTTCACATGACTGTGGGGACACCGCGATGGTCACAACCCCAAGGAACAGTTGTAAGTCCCCTCATTCAGCACTGTTGTAACTATGAATTGTCGCTGAATGAGTGGTCACTGAACAAGGACTACCTTTATGTGCCTCCCATGAACCCCTTCACTGATGCAAGTCAGGATCAGCACTAAGAATTTTACGAGCTGTGAATTCCTCACAAAAAGAAAATATTTCACCCTATTGTTCATTAAAATTATGTTTAAACTTTTAAAATGGTAACAAAAACAACAAATTCTCCATGCTTAATTCAAAGCCAATCATGGGTACAAGTTCAGTGAAACCTGTAATAATTATGAGAGATATTAAATTAGAGCTGCTTTGACCTGCCATTTCCCATCCCTCCAATATGGGACTACAACTCCCATTATCTCCGGCAGACATGAGGTTGCATTGGATGTGAATGATAGAAGGAAATCAAGTCTGGGAACTCTGAGTTAAAATCACAATAGTGGGAGAACAAAATCCAATATTCTGAGTTCCTGTTTACAGCATCATAAAAGGCTACAAGAGACCACCTACCTGTGGTGGTTCTCCTGCTGTGGAAGTTGCTCTAGCCAGTGCCAATAGTCCTTCCTCTTGAATCCCAGAACTGGCTCTGAAGAGGGCAAAAAGGCATCTTTAACAAGAATGGTAACAGAGAAGACAATTATACCCCACAGCTAAATACCATCAGTATGACTTTCTCATCACCAAAAGATAGTAATTTTAGCAGACCTACATTATGTGTGCACATCAATGTTTTGTGCCTACCACAATTGCAAAGAAGTGTTCTATTGTTTGAAAAAAGATGCTGGGGTTTTTTTCTGCACAAACTGCCATTTGACTATCCACATTTATATAGCATTGAAACTGGCAAGACATGAACTGTACAAATGCTACATTCCAGTAACCATGATGTAACAGTTGCCTAATGCTGCCATATGCTTAGCAAAATAGCTATACATTACAGAACTGTTATGGTCAGGATCCTGGGGAAGAATATTAAATATGTAATATATAGATTAAATCTGTAATACACATACAAATTCCTCTTTGAACGTTGTGTTTCAGATAAAGAATATGGCTTCATGCCTTTACATGTCTACAGTCCAAAGGACGACTTCATATATCCATCTGCTTTCCTGATTCAATACTAGGGTGTAATAAACCACGCGCATAGCCAGTGGGTTGTTAAGGCCCAACGTACAATAATATGGTATTGCTCATGCTAGTCCGACTCCATACTACTGAGGCAAATAATCTAAGATCCATGCTTTCCTTTTACATTTCAAGACTAATCTTTGCTCATTATCATGACTTTCTGTCAGTCAGGCCTTCAAAGCCAACAAACCTTTCAGGTACAATACACTTCTCAATGTTAAGCTACAGAGCAGAAAAAGTTATTCACGTTTTAAACCTTTCCGAAGAATCGTTTCCAGGATCTCACAAAAGGATTGTAAATGCGGACAGGTATCTGTGTAAGGACTACTGCTTCCCTGGAAGTTGAGAATGCACACTGCAAGAAAACAGAATTTATAAAGTTGCATTTCAAATCCAGGCTGCAATAAGAAGAGTTAAAATAGCCCTAGGCAAAATCACTTTTTGAAAATACAATACATATTGATTTGGGGAACGAACCTGTTTGCACATTTTACAAGTAAAAGGTTGATACACTATCTTAATTACTTAAAAACCATTCTTTCTCTTGAATGTAATGGCTTCACTAAACTCCAACACTGGGGGGGGAAAAAGAGATCTCTTAACCCTGACTGAAAGTTTAGTGCTTTTTAAAACCAATTTTATAGGTGATATGGTACAGAAATGTCATGTTACCTATAAACTGCAATTTAGGCACTGCAAACTAGAAACAAGCAAATTTACTTTGGAATTAATTACAACACACAGAAAGTGAAGCAACCATATGTTTATTCGGAAGAAAGAATGTGGAGTTTCCAATGGCAAAAACTTAACTTTGTTGGCTTGGAGCACTTTGGAAATGAACAGATTATGGTATAAATCAAGCGGTTTTGTCTATTTAAGTTGTCATATTATGAACACACCTACTTAGAAGCAAATCTCATTATACTCAGTAAGGCTTAATTTTTCTGAGGAAACAGGTATAGGATTTCACTTCCTTCTTTTGTTCTGCTTTAATTTCATTAGGAACACATCCAGTGGAAATGTTCTAAAGGCAGCTGTCTCCCCTTTTAATAGCATTTGTACACAAAGACTAATTGATACCCCTGTGTCTTAAATCCCGTTTGTTACTTTGGGCCCACAAAGGCAGGAAAGAAATATTTAATATCAGTAAGTATTAATGCAACAAAGTCATCAACCATGGGCCTGGTTCTGCAAATATTGACTGTTCCTTTGAGTGCTTGCTCCACCCATCAAGCCCATAGACCATCTTGGGAAAGATTTTCTCCTGCCACAATTTTTTGTTTTTTGTTTTTACTAAATGGACTAACAGTATAACAGATCCTGTGTCCCTTTTCCTTTTTTTGTAAAGTAAGGATGGTGACTGTGTGCCTATTTGAATATTTCATCATACAGCAATTCTCTCACCCTTCCTCTAAAATGTTCAGTATGGTACAAGGTGGTACATGTGGTTATTTAGGGCTATCACATCTAGGCTGCCAAAATCTGGACGATCACTAGATGGTAGCAGAGAAATACAGAAGTCTAATTCTTTGCTGCTGTCTAATGATCATTTGATTTCTGCAGCCCAGATATCTTCGAAACAACCCTGCAAGAAAGATCCAGCTGGTAAATAACTTAAGATTGCACAAGACAGTACACTGAACATGAGACTGAAGTTCATTAGTATAATCCCAACTGATCCTTAGTACTCAGTTTCTTATATGAAATGGATTTGTAAGAACAGCCTAAACTCAATAGCTGGCTTTACATAATATGCTGGGCTAACATATGATTACCTAAATCAGTTGTTCTTAACCTTTTATATAAATTCCTATCAATCACCCTATCAAATAACTCAGGTTCTATCATAACTGAAATTAAAAGCCCACTTTGTCCACCACCACCTCATTTATATGCTTGCAGGCATGGTTGTTACACTTATCATTTCCTGTGCATTTTAATGGTGCAAAGTTACTTATCCTGTGGCCCACCTAGATTACTTCTAAGTCCCACCAGTGGTATACATACTACTCACTGAGAACCATGTGGGCTAAATTGTAGCTTGGTGTTTTGTATGAACCCAGCCTATATGGTTAAGTTCATGGTTTGTGTTCTATAAAGTCAGACAATAGGTTAATTCAAAACCATGGTTTAGTGTGTTATGTGAATACAGCCAAAGAAATAAAAATAACAATAAAGTCCTGTGCATGTCTACTGAAGTAAGTCCCACTCTGTTCCATGTGGTTTACTCCCAGGTGGGGGCATGCAAGACTAGTTTAAAGAAAAAGGATAAGGGAGCCACCATAGTGCAAATCATTAAAACGAGGAAGTAGTATCTTGCAAAGTAATCATTTTTAAGAATCCCTAGTTTGTCACTGCAAAACAATAGTATAGATATATGGAGAGATCTGTAATCTATGAAGCTTTCAGATAAAAGCCAGACATAATTATGCATGTTGTTCATACAAGCAAGTGACATTACAGAACCTTAAGATGTAGTACTTTTCACAATACCGTAGTACTGTATATATTTCTTTTAGGATATTGATAGGAAATGAAATTGTTAGCTTCGTGTGATTTCAGACCTTAGAAAAGTCAATGTTATATCACTGCAACCCCCTTTGTACTAGTGTGATTTGGGGGGGAAAAAACAAATGATAAAACATAGTGCTGCTAGGAAAAAATACTTCATTATATTTATTGCACATTTAGGCTACAATCCTATCTGATTTATTTTGGGAGAAATCCTATAGAACATAAGAGGGTTTACATTTGGGCAGACCCTTGTACTGTAGTTCTTTTCTTTCCCTCTACAGAAAAGAAGCAGCGAGAACTTCAGTACTTGCGCACTTTTCTTTATGGGCTATCCTAACAAACAGTACCATTTAATTATCTAGACAGAAAGACACAGATTTTGGCTGAAAAATCTTGGCAAAAATACAGTCCCCTAGTTTCATACTGATGGTCATCAACCTCCAGCAGGAAATAGCACTAAAAAAAGTAGAGGATGACATGAAGTTAGCAATAAGAAATTACTCTCTCAGTTACTCCACACACATACCCCTTTTTCCTTGTGCATCAAAGATGGGTACAGCTGTGGGCAAGACATTAAGTAACCCAATATGAGAACTAAAAATATTTTTAGCCAAGGATGCTGAAGGTGACAAAGCTCAAAGGTGGGTATGTATCTTGCCTGCATGCCTATATAGTAGTAACAAAGTAGTAACAAAGAACATGAAGTTGTCTCTCCCATGTGTCCCCACATATGAATGACACCTGTTCCTCTACCATGATCTTATCAGGTTTTCATGACTGGGTGCACATGTTACTGGGGGGAGCCCTGTAACTGACTGTAAAACGTCCCAACCCCAGCATTTATCCTGCACACCTTGCTTGGACTTCTGGTGACCAGTTTCCTGATTCCATACCTTCTGAACTGGAACTTAGAAATCCAGTCGTAAATACTGCCACGAATGAAATGAGAGTTCTTCTGAAATCACTTGACCGTGGGGAGTGGAGTACACGTGCCAGATTGGGAGGCTTTAATACTCTAGCAAAGAACCAATCCCTTCCACCTGACATCTCCACAGCGCATTTCTTCTCCATGACAACTGGGCGACAATCAGGGCCACGCTCTCCAAGCCCCACACGCTACGAGCCATCTCTTCTGCCTGAAGGGCGGCAGCTTCTCCAACACTTCGTTTCAACGCCCGCCCCCCGCCGCCCTGCATTACCCGTCTCGAGTGTCTCTGTCCCGCTCACCTTTCAGAGCGCCCAGGAGCGGCTCTTTCCCACTCATGCTGCTCTGCTCTGTCCTGCTCTGCTCTGACTTCCCCAGCCTCCGGCTCAGCGCAGCGACCCGGACACAGCCTCGGCTCGCGCCTCCACCCGGTGGAAACCGTCCGC